GGGCGCCCACCGGTGGGGGGGCCCCCCCCCCCCCCCCAATTTCCCATGCCCCCTAGATGAGCCGTTCACAGCTCCACCATGGGTGGAGTCGCATGCTCTGATGGGCAGCGCCAGCCCCTGCCCCAACTCCATTCCCTCCCCCACCGCGGGGACCTCGATCTGCCTCTCCATGCCCCTTCCCCCTCCCCGCATGCCCCTTCTTCCCCACAAATTTACCAGCCAGGCACTGCTCTTTATGCTGCTGGGCTCCATTCCCGGCTGCAAGCATGCGCACAGCATTTATCAGTGACATTACTGGCTATGCCAGCCAAAAAAAGCCAATTGCCAATAATGTTATTTCACTTTTATCAGTGCCAATCTGATATGGACCAATATATCGGTGCACCTCTACTAAATATATAATTGCACTGAGAATGCAACAAACAGAAGACAAAAATTTGTGGTATAATGATTTTTTTTAAAGATATTTCTAAAAGAATATCAAAACATATCATTAAGATGATAGAAGAGATTTGAAATGAGGACAATGATAATATATTGAGCATTACCTCCTGTGTAACTCTTATATGTAATTTGTAGGAAAGTTATTGGCTAGCCTGGCTCATACAAGAGTAGGTGTTCCAGAAGCAATTACTTCATTAGGAACCATACAACATCTTTGTTATCATTTATACTCGGATAAAGAAGAGGTAAGTTGCAGTAAAGAAAAGAAATACATTTTCATGTTACAGTTTTCAGTCCATTTGCCTGTTGTTAATAAAATCTATATTTGCACAATTAGCAGATGAATGCTAACTATTTAAATGTTAATAGATGGTCATTATTGAAACTCATTAAACAAATGGCATATTAAATAAGATGACTCAGTGATAAGAAGTGAAATCCTGGCAAAACATTGGCTTCAGCAGGCTAGTTCTTCAGTCAAGTATTTTAGTGTGTGTTTACTTACTACTTGAGTCTAGACCACAAAAATTCCTACTAATTTTAGGATTCTAATTTTTGGGGTTTTGTCTCATAGGGGGAAGGCTATGGGTGTATGCTTATTTTATTTTGGTCAAATGGCTGCTTTATTTAATGCAAGGAGTGTATTTTTGAAATTGGAATGTTGGAATGATAATCAACCTTAAAGCATTGCCGGGGAAAATATTTCTGTTTCTTCTAGGTTCGTATAGCCTCAGCCACTGCTGTTGCATACTTAACGTTCAACCGAACTGCCTATCGCCATCTATTAGTAGAATGCAGGAATAAACCCAAACAGTTCACCCATCTAATGAATAACCTAAGTAGGGATGCAAAAATAAACCCTGACTTGGTAAAAGAATTCCAGAGACAAAGACAAGTCGGACTACCCTCTTTAAGGTACTGTATACTATACATTTATATAGAGCATTTTAGCAGGAGACGATCCTGCTTTGAAGGGACTTCAACACTAATTTTGTATTATACCATAGGCGACTGGTAGGGGGTGCACAGGGATGCACATGACCCCCCCGACAGGGTCAGTGCCCCCCCTGACAGCTGACACTGATGTTGTCAGTAGGGCTGTGGCCCCCCTGACAGGGCCGCCACTGCCTTTGGTGGCTTCTGCAGGTGCCCTCCCAAATTCAGGAGGCACCAGTCACTCATGTATTATACATGTGATTGTACATTCAGTTTATACTGGCAGACTTTATAGAACTAAAAATAAAGAAAATATATTTCATGAGTTCATAAGAAAGACTATTTATTTTCTCACATACAGCAAGCCCCTAAATAAGATACACACCTTGTTTTTAGAAGGCAGAATGTAGAGAAAAAGATTTGTTCAGTGTCATGGCTGACCCTGATAGAGCATGTCTTCCTGGGAACATATAGTGTCCAGGAAGTATGGCATCCCAGGAGACAATATGGGTAAGGCAGCTGGCACCAGGAAGTTCCTCACTTGAACTGTCACCCGAGCTTTCTGGATACTCCATGTTTCCAGGAGGATTTACTCTGTTACACAAGGCTATGCCCCATACCAGAGGCAGCTAAAATATGGTCCACAGGCCGGATGTGGCCCACCATGCACTTTCATTCAGCCTGCAGCACCCCCCAACAAATTGCACCCCACCCAGCTCCTTCCACCCATGACGGCAGAAGCAAGGCTCCCATGCATATGCACATCCCCCAACATACACTGTTGCACCTTGCTCCCACCCTCATGGATGGAAGGGCTCGTCCTGGCCAGCATGCAACTTCCAGGTGGGACTGCTGCTGCCACTACTGCAGCCACTGGGGACCTGCTCGATCTGGGCAGCAGGTAAGGAAGCAGCAGGGGCGGGAGTAGAGCTGCAGCTGGGCAGGAGCGCAGAACATGGGACTGGGGCTGGCAGCTTCGCAGAGCCAGTACCCAGGAGGGCAGTAGCAGTGCAGAGCTTGGCTGGGCAGGGGGTGGGGGTGGTGGTGTGTGGGGATGTACAGCACTGGCTGGAGCTGTGCGCAGCCAGGCACCAGTGTTTGCACCAGGCACAGTGCCCCAAGCACCCCCACCTACTACTGTGTCATGGGGGGAGTGTGGGGGATCCTCACACCCCACAAATGCCACACACCCACACCCTGCCCCCACAACACCCCAACATACCCTATACCCCCACGCACACAGCCACACACTCTCATAAACCCCCACAAACACACACCCACACCCCACCACAGCCTCACCTCAACCACACCTCCCCACACACAATATACAAGACTAAGAATTTATTGTTGAGCTGTTATGCAATCACCCCTATATACAGTATGCAAACAGAAATCACAGCAAAAATACTTTTTGTAATAAAATTAAAATACATTATAGTAGGTGTTTGACTTTTAATCTTATGATTTGGTTTTTTCTGGTTCTAAGATGGCAACCCGCCTCCCAAAAGGAGTATTTCTGGGGGGCAAAGGGAGGGACTTCCTGTGGCAAAGGTCAGAGGTTACGGGTGGGACTTCCAGTCCCAAGATGGTGACTAGGGGGTGGGCAACTGTTGAGGAGTGGAGCTACCCATGCAGAGCCTCAAAAGCTACCAAACCTTGTTAAATGGCCCTCCAGCCAAATTAATTTCCTGCTCTTTCCTCAGACCCTTGTAAGGGCAGTAGCAAGTCTGTTAGTTCTTTACTATAAGTAGTTCTTTATATAAGATCCTGTAAATAAAGTGTTGTTTCTAAACCACAAGTTTCATCAAGATATTACCAGCAGCTCACTTGCTGCTTCAGGGGCAAGCTACAGTAGTCAGCCAATAGATACAGCTGTGAGAGGGTTAAAACTTTATTCTGCCCCTTCATCTTGGTAAATGAGACAAGCAGCAGCCATCTTGGCAGCTGCATGGCATGTAGTGTCACCAGATGTGCACCATTTCTAGCAAAGCAAACAGTTTTCTCATCCAAATATATACAACCCAATTTTGGAGAACTGATTTTTGGGGGAAAGGTGTATGTTGTATGCAAGAAAATACTGTATTTTAACCTGTAAGCAGAATGGTATGTTATTTTGGAAAATACCAAAAAGTATAGGGAATATATGGATTAATATTCAGATCTATCACACCGTCCATTAAGAATCCTAAGAATTAACTTTTTTATAGTCAAGTCCTCGTGTGAATTAGTGCATACTATGATAACCTAACTAAATCTAGGTAAAAGCAGAGAGAGAAGTGTAAGGAAACAAATCAAGAGTAAGATTTCACATGTGAGTAAATACATTGTCTCTGGGCATTCCAAATATTGTTGTTCTGTTCCCCTTAAAACTAGACTTACATTCAGTGTGATCATTGATTCTTTATCCTTTAGAATGATTTCTCCCAGACCTAAGCAATGTGAATTTTCTGATGCTAAAATAATCAATATAATTTATAATTTCTCATTTCTTCTCATATTCTGACCAATGCTTTCAAGTTAGAAGAATATTTGAATAAAAGAATGCCGCATATAAGGTGATATCTCAATAGTAACCAGAAAGCAAAAATCATCCTGGAATCAGAAAACGTTATCCATTCATTGTTTAAGAACAGGTTATGATACAAATAGAAAATACATTGAATACAACTAGTACCAGTAAACTAATAGGAAACAACTTGCAGATGACTTCAACTTAGAATCTGATAGGGTTGTTTGGAAGATTTGATATGTAGAGAAATGGGTCATAACCCACCATACACAACACATCTTTTTATTTTACCTCTTCTTCCTTCTAAGTTGATGTAACAAAAAGTAAATACATTATTCTTGCTCAAAACCATGCTTTGTGGTAGTAGTAATGTTTTTGGCATGTCAGTAGTTTGAATGTACCGTACCTTTCAAGAATTCAAATATTAAAAAACAAAACAGTTAGAAACAGGAAATTTGGAGCTCAGATTAAATTTACAAATACTCATTTAGAATCATTTTAGGCAATGGTGTCAATATGACACATTCTGTAATAATACTTTTGCAGATTTGGGCAGTCTGGAAATTCAAAGTTAACCTAATATAAATTTGCCCCAAAAGAGATCAAAAGGTTTTGGGTTTTTGGCATATATAATATTGACAGATTTTTTAATTAGTGCTATACATGTATGTTGCTGATACTAATTGCAATGTTCTCCCTGTCAGTAACCTGCTCTTTTCATGTAAAGTTTCTTATGTAATGATATGGACTTAAAGACACTTTGACTAATTGCTACAAAAGGGGGTCAAAGACCTGTTCCTATAGGATTCTGTATGTCTTTAATACTGTGCAGGTTTTAAACTTTAACAAGAGTGTGGAGAATTGCTTTTAACAGGTTCTTTGTTAAATGAAGAATCTGTAACGTTATTTTAGGTATCACTGTAAATAGGTGACAAAGTGGCATCTGGTCTGAGTATAGCAAGGGAGAAATCAGATGAGTGCTCTGAGAACAGGCTTCCTCTTTGGTCCAAGTTGCAGATAGTTTGCATTAGTCCTTTTGCATGCATACAGTACTTCTTCCTCTATGCTGATTTAGCTGTGCTGCCATTGTAGATGGATGAGATACAGAGCTTAAATTAATCCTTTAATTTACTCTTATCTAGAACATGTGGAACTTTTCAGCATGTCGGCTTTCTTCTTATGAATTGGAAATGCTCAATTAACCTTATAAATTAGATGGGAATCCCTGTATATGTTATAGAAATACAGCTACCTGTGGCATTTAAACAGTACACAGAAATATTACAAGACAAAAATTGCAGATAGTTTATATAAATTTATTTACAAGGGAATTGTAGGTTGGCTGAATATATGTACCCTGCAATACCAGCAGTGCAAGCAGATAACTTAACGGTTCTTTGCCACCTTAAAAATCTGCGAATCATAGAAGGAGCAAAGCTGTAAGTGCTAGACTTGCAATTCAAATATAAAAAGTTGTCAACCTTGCATCTTTTTGCTGGTGGCCATTGCAAGAAACTCCAGCTGCTGCATTGGTGTAGCTGGAACCCAGCGAGTGAATGCCACATCTTGCACCCCATAGTCTTGCCTGCTGCTTAATCTGGAGCCTTCAGTTACTGTTGGAGACTAAAATCAGAGGCAGAGGAAAATATGGGAGGTGAGTGGTAATAGCATTCACCTTCTGGGTTCCGTATCAGTGTCAATACAGCTGGTCTGGCAGCCATGCCAACAAGCTGTCCCAACATCAGAGGTGGGTCATGTAACATGGGAGAAGCTCCACAGGGCCACATGACTTAGACACCCCTGCTTTAAATGATCCTTGACTCCAATATTCTTCAAAACCCCAAAGAATCTGTACCATAACATTTACTACAGAAGACTTAGATGCTCCTTGGAGGCAGCAGCAATGGCGGGGCAGGGGGAGGGGGAGGGCACACTGGGCCCGGCCTGGCCCCAAAACAGAGGGTATGGCGGGGTCCGATGGGCCCCGCAATGACAGCGTGGGGAGCAGGCTGGCGGAGTGGGAGGAAGGAGAAGCACCCCCCCCTCGCTCCACTGGGGGTAGCGGTGCAGGGAGGGAGGGAAATGGGGTCAAGGCCACTACGGCAAGGGGGGGGAGAAAAGAAGCAGCCCTGAACCTGAACAGCAAAGGAGGAATGGGGTCAGGCCCAAAGTGATGGGGGTGGGGGAACAGGGTCAGGCCCAGACTGGGGGGGCGGGGCCGGACGAGGGGAGCAGGGGCACAAGGCTGGATGCTGGGCTCTGTCCCTGCTAGCTGCTCAGGTCAGGGTGGAGGGAGAGGCCCTGGCCTCAAAGCAGCAAGGGTGGGGGGAGCAAGCCTGGCCCTGGGCCTCTGTCCTCACCCCCCTGGCAGGCAATAGAGTGGTTGGGCCAGCACTGCTGGCCCTGTCCCCCCAACCCTGCAGTGCTGGCTCCGTCTCCCCTGCTCCCTGCAGGCTGCAAAAACGGAGAGGATGGGGGGGCAAGGCCATCAGATGAAGGGTGGGGGGCAGCCTGACCCCATCCCTGGCCCTGACCCCAAAGTGGCAGGGGGAAGGAGGAGGATCAGGCCTGGCCTCGAAGGTTGGGGGGAGCAAGGCCGGACACAGGCTGCTGTCCCCGACTGCCCTGCCCCCCATTATTTTTGACAGGCAGTTGGCTACTAATAAAATAAATTCTAAATATCTATAAAGTTTGGCATTGACTTTTGACTTTTTTGTCATAGAAAAATCAGAGCTGACCCTACCCCCTTCACACAGCAGGATGTGTAGCACTGAGCCAGGCCCCTGCCTCTGCCCTTTCCGCTCACTCTCAACCCACAGCCTCCAACTCCAGTCCCCTCACTCGTGACCCATGGGGCCAGGTATCTGGGTGAGGGTTTGTGGGGGTGGCTTGGGGGTGTGGAGGTGGGCATATAGGGGGAGCTGCTCAGGAGGGGTGGGTCCCCTACCCCCTGCAGGGTGCAGCCCCCCTGCACAGCTCAAGGACTGCCCCCCCACAGGGCCACAGCCCCCCAACAGGGGCCACAAGCCTCCCCACAAGAGCTACTGCTCCCCCTGCAGGGCCCACGTGCCCCGTGCCCATCCCCCCGCTTGCTCCCCCAATCACTGCCCCACTTGGTCCCAGCCCCTGATCGCTGCCCCGCCCAGCCCCAGCAGCATCCCAGCCCTCAAACCCCTCCCCCCCAAATCAAAAACCTCGTACTTGCCAGCTGTACCAGTGGCCATGGGGACCACTGGGGCCTCATGGCAGAGCAACCCCACATGGTGCGAGGCAGCAGGGATCAGCCCCATCTAGCTGGCACCCTTACTGAAGCTGTTGTATCGCATGGGTGCTGTGCGGTTCTGCAGGGCACTGTGCACTGTTTGGGAGCTCAGCCACTGGGGCTGAGCAGCACCGGGCTCTGGGTGACAGCTGGAGCTGCCCTGAGCTCCGAGACAGCGTGCAGCACTGCTCGGCATCCTACTGAGCCACGCAGCACCCACACGATCTGACAGTGGCAGTGTGGATGCCAGGAGGCTGGTACCGCTCCCTGCAGCCTCATGCCATGCAAGGGGGCTCTGCTATGAGGCCTGAGAGCCACCGCTACAGCCAGTGAGTGCAGGGTTTTTCAGGGCGGGGTTTGAGTACCAGGATGCTGGGGCTGGGCAGGTCAACGATGGCGGGGCTGGGGGAGCGAGCAGGGGCTGGGGCCAGGTGGTGGTTCCCCCATCATCACTTCCCCCCTCCTCCAGGCCCACCCACCCCCTACTTACTCCACATGGAGCCCAGGTCCAGGTCCCTGCAGCTGGCATGCTGCTTGCTGCACAGGCAGGCAGAGTGCTTCAGCATCCATGCCTGGCCCCACTGTTTCGTGGCATGGTTTGGGTTTTTTTTGACCCCTGGATATCCAGGGGTCTAATTTTGCCCCCACGCTGCAAATTTGCAGCGCAGAGAACATTTTTTGTTTCCGCACGTGCGTCTTGCAGCGTCTCAAACAGGTTTGAGACGCTGCAAGATGCACGTGCATGCTCATCTGGATGCGCCCCATGAGTCTGCCAGGTAGGTTTAATTAAACCACCTTTAAGTAAAAGCATTATGAAAACCAGGTGCAGTTTTCAGTCCCAGAATTTAACAATCAGGTGAAAAGAGTGTTCAAACCACAAGAATAAGGAATCAAAAATATTGGCCAAGCCCTGATGCAGTTCATTCTAAACTCATTTAGCAGGCTCTCCACTAAAGGTTGCAGAAGAAACCACTTCAAAGAGGCATAGTGATTGACCCGTCTTTCTCTAAAATTCCTCTTGTATTAGGGGTTCATAAAAAGGCATTTGCTCTTCTTTCAACACTGTATGTGTATTTGTGTCAACTGGTATTTGTCTCTGCTGACGTCATTTCAGTATCTCTCCCTCATTTATCCAGTAACTAACAGTAAATAACTTTTAACAATGTTGTTTGTTTGCATTTTATACAGCACCTCCAATTTTTAAACAGACAAATAAGAATAAGGAGTCATAAAATGCAACATATTCATTTAAAGGACCAGAAAGAGTTGTTGAGATATAATTTCAAGCACTTGCTTTACTCTCTTATAAGACCTGCGAATTTCATAGATTTCATAGACATTAGGGCTGGAAGGGACCTTGGAAGATCATCGAGTCCAGCCCCCTGCCCGAAGGGCAGGAAGTCAGCTGGGGTCATAGGATCCCAGCAAGATAAGTATCCAATTTTCTCTTGAAGGTGTTCAATGTAGGTGTTTGAACCACCTCCGATGGCAGGCTATTCCAGACCTTGGGGGCTCAGACAGTAAAGACATTCTTCCTTATGTCCAGCCTGAAACAATCTTGCAGTAGTTTATAACCATTATGCTAGAGGATAATTATTTTTTGTTTAATCATGCAAAATCTAAATCAAGATAATATAAATATGTAAGCAATCTTTGTAGAATGTTCTTATAATGCACGGGGAATTTTTTTTGGCTTTTTCAATTCAAATTGTTGCAATTAGGGGCAGTAAAGGTCCTGAGTATACTGTTACCCTTCTAGTTTTAGTGCATAGGAATGAGCCATTGAGGTGAAAAGCCAGAGATAGGCATCTGCAGCCCTTTGGCAGGCTCCCTCATCTTCAACATGGAAAAGGTTGTGGAGGGAGTAGGGTGGCTGGATGACATGCAGTTGCGGGCAACTCCTAGTACAACTGCCTCCAGAAAATTATGGGAATTGTAGTGAGGTGATAGAGTATGTCTCCCATTTCTCTTCAGCTGTTTATTTGGAGCAATATTTGCCATTTAATTTTAGAGAGCCCAGTTCATCAACTTTTGTGCACAAAACTTCCACTGATGCACTACTTTGAATGTAGTATCCTCTGTGAATTCATTCTGATGCTTTAACCTACTCTAACCTCTCCTTCAGAATTGCAATACTTCTGCAATGCAGAAGTGACCATTATGTCATCTAATTCACAAATGAAGTACCTGTAACAAGAATTTATTAACCAAATTCTAGATTGAGCTATTCATCTCCTGATGTCACACGTCTTGGTACCAACTGTAGCCAAAAGTATTGGTGTGGAGAATGATGCAGGTAAGCATGTCCCACGTGATAAAAACATGAGATTCTGAAGCATGTACATATTTTAATGGATATCTATTTTGAGATCTTAGCTTGAGAGCTTGCTGGCCTAACTCTGCTCTCCATAATGTCAATAGGAGTGTTATGAATCTTTGCATGTGGCTACAGAATGTGCTTGCAGATAGTGTAAAAAGTGTAACCTAAGTACAGGTTGGTCTTGTTACTTGTGAGGAAATAGAACAAGTTATCTTCTCATTTGGCAATAAAACATTGTTATATTTTGTTTATAAATATATGGCATCTTCAGTCGTATGCATTTGTTCACTTCATCTTTGTTTCATTAAAGTCTTGTATAATCTGGGATGAATGAAGAAAAGGAGAAAAGGAATAAATATAATATTAAAAAAATCGAAGGAGAAATCTTGAATTCAATTTAATTTTGTTTTCTAAATTCTAATTATATTGTTGTGTTAATATTTTTTTTTTCAGTTAGGGTTAATAATAAAAATTGACAGCCACTCTTTGGAATCCTTAGGACTTTGACTATTGATTATTTATGGTATTAACTAGATAATTTAGCTAAGTTGATTAATTTTAATGCAATATTGCTGCTAACAATTTGATGATAGTATTTCTTGGTTCTTAATATAATCTACTATTAATAGTAACATAGCATTAATAATATATTCTTTTTAGTAAAAATAAAAGCTATAAAAAGAATAAATGAGTCATTTCTTTCAGTAAAAAGCATGAGCTAAAACCATTGACAATCTGGGTGCGTATTAATAGGTACCTGAGAAACCTGTTTCCTCTTTAAAGAACCTTTCCCTCTTAGAACACGCATGTTTTTCTTGATTTTTTACAACAGAAAATTGATAGCTTTTGAAGCATCACAAACAATAATTTAGTCTCACAATAGTCCTATGACATGGTTGCATGGATTTTTATTATAAGAAATAGAAGTACTAAATTACTAAATAAACCAGTAGCATTTGTGAAATAACATATATACACAAAAGCATTAACTTCAAAGTGACTCATGGTTTTTTGCAGGATTAGAAAGATGTTATCAATGCTGGTTAGAACTCAGCTTGAATGTTATGCATTCATAAGAAATGCTGGATAAATAAAAAGGGTAAAAATCTTCATGTTAATAGTGCAAGGGAAGAGTTAATTACTTTTTAAAACACTTAAAATTGTCTTTTATTTCCAGTTTGGGGATAAATGGAGGACCACCTGCAGTTCCACCCCGTACTAAAGGTATCTTAAGTATCTGGCTTGTTTTGAAGTTCACAAATAAGTTAATAGGCTGTATATCAGTGGTTCCCAACCTTTTTTTTTCTGCAACCCCTGCTGGAAGCAGAGTGCAGTGGCGGGGGAGCTCCCAGCATGGGGCGTGGCTCGTCTTTTGTGTGCAGCGTCGCTGGCATTGCCCCTGCATCCCTCATTTGGGTCACGACCCGGGGTTGGGAACCGCTGCTGTAGATGCATACCACAAATAGGGATCTATACAATGTTAATGATGTTTTGAGAATTACTTTTCTTATAGTCATCATATTAAGATTTGTATTCATCTCTATAGTAAGGCTACATGTAATAAACACATTTCCTGTTTTGGAAAACATAGATAACTGTAATTAGATTTTCTTAATTTAGCTTTATTGTGAGTATAAATGTAAATGCTTATAAATGTTTGTGTTTATTACAGGCATAATTACTTAACTTTTGTTTAGCTTGCTAGTCCATGTTATTCAGGGACTCAAATGCAATTTTCTGCCTATGATAAAAATGAATAAATAATAAAGATATATTTTTTTTATTTTGCAGAGAGATCACAAAGCAGAACCAGAAGATTTAAAGCTAGATTTCAACCAAAGGACTCCCTTCTTTTAATGCCTGTCTCTGCTCACTTAATGGGGAAACTCAAAACTACAGAGAAGCCCCGTATCCGGACCACTGGACTCCAGCCATTTCTACATGTAACTTCAGCAGACATCATAAATGTGTCAAGACCAAGAATTTTTAATGTCAGTAATCTCCGACCTAATTCACTAGGAAAGAAAGCTTAAGTTCAGTGCCAACAATGAAGAAGAAAAGTATTTGTATGTATACAGTGTCCTATAGGATTTTGAAATATGACAGTTAACTTTGGAAAACCTCACTCTTCACAAAGCTGTTGTATGCGTAATGGAGAGGGCCTGGCTGTGAATAATTTTAAATACTACTACAGCATGAAAAAAATAAATGCATTGAAAATATATATAAAGATGATTTGTGAAAGGCTGCCTATAAGTGAGAAATGTGTTGTGTAAAATATTTTATCAGGTGAAATTAAGCTACATCTAATTGTATCTCATCACCAAGTGGTACAGAAGGCAGGGTGGGGTGTTACCTTAAAGACTAACTTGTTCAGAAAGGCATAAGATTTCATAGACTACAGCTACTAGCATAGGCTTTAACCAGGAGTGTTCATGTATTAGGGTAGGGAAACACATGCTAAGAACCCTTTGAGCAGCTCAGAGATAATCCTCTTCCATTGAAAATTATCTCTAACTAGTTTTAGGCAGTTCATGTTGCAGTCATGTGTGAATGCACCCCAGGCCCAAAACCAGTTGGGAGCAGTCCTCCAGCATCCCAGGAGGCATTGCTCCCAGCTACTCTATCTTGCCCCACAGTGCCAGTCAGGGAGCTTCTAAAGGTAAGAATCCCTTCTCTACTCCCATTCTGGGCTCTTCCCAGTCCTTGGGGCTCTCCTCATCCTCCCCACCCCAACCTCTGAGGCTCCTCCCTTGCCCCTTGGGACTTTCCCTCTGCCCCCTTCCACCTGCCCCTCAGGACTCCTCCCCTGTCCTTCCTGCCCCTTGGGTCTCCCCCTCTGCCCCTTCCCTCAGTGCCCCTCAGGGCTCCCCTGCCCCCCATGTCCCCAAGCTTATCTGCAGTGTTGGTGCTGACCTGGGAAACAGGCAGGGAAGGGGAACCTGTCTGCCTGGCCATTGCCACTGATCTCTGGCCCAGAGAGTGGGGGTGCCAGGTTCCTCTTCCCTGCTTGCTCCACTGGGATAGTGCGAGGACCTACAGGTGAGCTGGGAACTGCTGGGGCCCAGGTAGCAAGTGGGGATCTTGGATGCACCAGGTTGGGGTGGGGAGTGACAGTGCACGGTGCAGTGGTGGATGACAAGCTGCAGTGCAGCAGGTTCAGTCTGGGCTGGCAGGGGAGTGAAAAGCAAGTATGTGGTGGGTCCAATCTGGGGTCCGGTGGCACATCCCCACCCACCTGAATTCTGCCCACAGTCCTTCCTGCCCCCTCCCCATTGGCCCAGATTGGGATCACTGCACTGCCCCCCACCCACCCAGATTGAATCCACTATGCCATGCTGCCCCCCATCCCCAGCTGATCTGGATCGAACCCATTGTACCACCTGCCCCTCCCCACACCAGCCTGGACTGAGTCACACACCCCCAATCCACACTCACTGCACACTGGAAGCTTCCAGCTCACCTGCAGTTTCCAGCACTGTCCTGGCGGAGCAAGCAGGAAAGAGGAACCTGTCTGGCATTGGTGCCATTGCCACTCTCTGGGCTGGGCTCAGCCTGGAAAGCAGTAGTAGTCCAGTGACAGCGACAGTGGCTGGCACACAAGTTCCTCTTACTGCCCCAGGACAGTGCCGACAGTGCAGATAAGCACAATAGCTTGCAGACAGGTGATTGTTGCAAGACAAAAATCTTCCTAAATGAGCTTAAAAAAGTTGATTTGAAAATAAAAGTCAACAGTCTGTTTAAGCTGTATAGGTATAAGTATAGGTATAGGTATAATGAAGCATTTCTTCCACTCTCCAGAGTGACGCTTAGCTGAGACGGAGCTCTCAGAGATGATCATATATGAGAAAATGAATGACTAAACCTAGTTGTGATGAGCATAGCTTATTTTTATGTTTAGTATAAATAACACTATGATTCAGAAGAGTCCCAGTGTTATATTGCTGAATAAAGTATACTAGCCCCTGAAATACTGCCACTGCTACCCGGTAGTGTAGGATAGGGGTTCCCAACCTTTTTAGGCTAAGGACCGGCAAGCTGTGGACTGGAAGTGACCAGAGACCAGCAAACTGTAGACCAGCAGTGACTGGCATACTGTAGGCAAGTAGCTGATCCGCAGTATGCCGGTCACTTCCAATCCACAGTTTGCCAGTGTTACGAGATTTGCCCATCACTTTGGGGTGTGCTCATTTATTAGGGGTACATTTCTGAGGTCTCTAATTCTATCAATGTGCTGCTTGTGTTACTTGTGTTTCTATATGGACCTGTATCTCTCCCTTCTGCAAGTCCTCACCCCTAATGGAGCTATTTTGCAGGACTCAGTTTCAATGGGGCTGGGTTCCTCCAGCCACCAAATCAGTCAAATACATACACACACACACACACACACACACAGATTTAACATGATACGCCTGACCCGGCCAGGTTGATCAGCATGTACAGGTTGACACCCTCATACGCAAAGAATCAGTTCATCAGGGCAACAATAAAATGCAGTCAGACACAACCACACTGTTGTGGTGAACAGAATACCTCTGAACCAGGCTGGGTGTCCAGCTGACACCCTCATAGACCAGCATTCAGTTCATTAGGGCATGTCTGGGCCAAACGGGGTCAATCAGCATATACAAGCTGATCCCCTTATGTGCCTCAAACTCAGCACATCCCAATCTTTTACCCTAACTGTCCTTGTAGTGGTAGCCTCTTGATGAGCAGACCCCATAATATTTTGGGCTTTACAGGGATCTTTGGCTTAGGTAAAAGAAGCGCTGCTGCAGAGCAAGTGGAGAAGGGGAAGTAGAGAAGGAAAAATACACGCAGTTGCCACCAGTTTGACTATAAAAGTTATGTATTGCTAAGTATATGAAATTTATGATGGTACTAGTAGTAATAGCCATACAAGGAAAAATAAACAGAAACAATTACAATATTACTCTGTCTCAGTTGAGTATTTGAGGAAACCTAGCTCAAGCTTAACTAATAAAATTCAGGTGCAGAAAGCTATGCCTAGAGAGAAAAAGAGAAAGAGCGAGAGAGAGCATGCTGGGTTCTCACCATTCCAAGGCACTTGGGTGTTTTGTTGACAGGCAAAGTTCCTAGCATGATTTTTGAAGGTTAAACAGGCGAAAAAAAGAGACGATCTATTTATCCCAGCTTCTTGAGAACAACAGCAGATGGTGTCAGAGAGATTTCTCCCTCTTGAAGCACAGTTTGCTGCTTTGCAGCTTTCTTATACCCTTAGTCCAGCCTCTTCAAAGCATTCTTTTAATTGTGTAAATCAAGAGTCCCAACCCATAAATGACAGGGAAAATCCTGCTATTTAAAGAGTTTCAATTTACATGAATTACCTTTTTCAGTGACAAGAGGTTATCTGGTTTGGAATGTCTCAAGAAACTGATTAACAACCAGGAAAAACATATGGTTTTAAGGAGTAACCAGACACCTAGGACCTGGCTTGAAATTATTATGAATATAGAAGATAAACTGGGATACCACATTATTTCTTCTCAGATGGCCTAGCTATGCTTGCACTGTGAAGTCAGCATCAGTGTTTTGTATTTTACCTGTTGTGAATAAGCCTCAGCTTAGCATGACTTTTATATCTTACTATAGTCTTTTACTGATGCCTTGGTTTGGTCTGTTTTCTAAAACAGGACATCCCAAGGGCACATGGAACATACTTAAGAGGATTACTTGGCGTGTTCATAAACTTTATGCGGAGGACTTCCACCAGTCATCCTGGGAAAAATATGAGAGCATTTGTGGTCAGGGCTCCAATGGGCTGGACATAGTGATGAACCCTTAACCATCATTCAAATGTTGCCCATGCCAACTCTGACCTGGTCTCTTGCCTCAGCATTCCCTAACCTGGCAACTGAGTTTTAGTCAATCAAGTTTAAGTAGGCCTCCCGTACTGGGAGTGGGGAGTGTACGGCCTGAGATGCCTATTAAATTTTTCTTCTGCTTAGTTCTGGTGAGGTGAGGTGTGGCGGGGCAAAGAAAAAATCCTTTGTAAATCCAGCAAGCTGGGTGCCAGGGTTCCCTCAAGAACACAGAGCTGACAGGTAACACCAGTCCGTGGTTTGCCAGTCTGTGGTCACTTCTGGGCCCGACAGCCAGCCCTCCTGCAGACCGGCAGCCAACCTCTTGCAGTCCGGCACCAGGCCACAGCCTTGGGGTTGGGAACCCCTGGTGTAGGGCAAAAAGTAAAAGATGTTATATGCTGTTGAAAATGCAGGAGTTTAGTAGAATGTACTTGCTGGGCCTCAATTTAATTGTGGTACTAGAATTATTGCAACACTTGCAAAAGCTGCTTACTTTTCCTCTGATCAGTCACTGAGGCCCTGTCTATACTTTGGCTACGTGGAAGTGCACTTCCAGCTTCGTCGCTGGCTCAGTAATGGGCTGCTGGGGTACCCCCTGCCCTTGTCGGCGATCTGGTGCCCCCCCAGACTTGGGAAGCACCAGTTGCCCATGCATCTATATGTTACAGTTATGCCACAAGTAACGTGTTAATCATGGCATAAGTGGGAAGGGTACTACATGTGCACCTTACTGAAAGTGCCATAAAATGGTAAACAAGCCATAAAAATGTTTCATCTATGTAATTTGGTTTAAAGTCCCCAGCAAGGAAAAATCCTTCAGCTCCTTCTGCTGAGAGTTTCTTCCAGGTAGAGCATATCTAGGAAAAACAGCATTTCTTGACTCCATGATAAGACATGGATATATTAATATCTGTGGCCAAACTGTTCCTGATTACTAATGCATCTTGATAAGGAAGATACAAAAGACCTTGCTTTCCTTTTATGCCCAAGGCAGACAGGGCTATGGAACTAGCTTAATAAACTAACTGACTGCAGAGAAGAATAGTGCTACACATCCAAAGGGGCTTATTCAAAATAGCTCTGGAGCACAAGTGTTTCCCAAACCAACTCTGAAGCTGGGTGCCTCTACACTACCCATAGTGTGTTTGGGGTTAGATATTACAATCTGATAGTTTGAAACCTACTGAATTGTTAGCAATGTGGGTTTACCTATGGCTCTTATTCAAGTACTGACCAGACAAGATACTGCTTAGGTTTGAGATCTGAGGAGAATGCATCCTGAGAATGGGCAAAAAACCAACATGTTTATTACAAGATAAGATTTTGTAACAAATAAAGTTTTCAACATAGCTACATAAGCACTATAGGCAGTGAGCTTTCTTCTGGGAATTTTGCTGTCTACTAGCTACTCTTGGTCTCTGTCCTCGTATATGAGAGCCCTACAAATTGTTTTGAGCCATTTTCAAAGTTGTAGATCAATTGATGGATACCAGTCTCCAGCCACAGACACGTTTACAGCTTTAGTTGAGCAGGAAAGAGAGGCTGAGCTGAAGATTAGTTTCTATCCCTGGTCTATGCAACTGTAACATTGGAAAAATCTTTCTTCCTTATTCTGCCTTCCCAAAAATAAAGAGTATATCTTATTTGGGGTTCTGTGGTGTATGAGAAAATATGGTGATCATTCCAACTAGAGTTTTAACCCCAAAATAGAAAAACTCCATGAGACAAACTCATGGAAGAGTTTGGTATGGCTATTTTATCTGAAAGGTGCTCAGTTATGATGGCATACTCTCTGTTAGTTCATACATATGAACTTTCCTACTACTCCAGTCTCTTCGCTATTGGTATTGTTCCTGAGTTCATTTTGTTTGTACTATTATATATCCTAAGTGTGTTCATTAATGTTAGCCAGAGCCTCAGCTGGTTATGGAAAGTGTTTAATAAATAACTGCAATTCAGATAAAAATGTTAATAAATACTAGTTAAATCAGGAAGGAAATATAAATAATTTTGTGTTACACCAAGTATCAGAGATTCATATGAAACAGCAACATTTTACAGAATTTAAAAAAAACCCTCTGAATTGTTTTAAATATTTCACTTTGGATTTAAAAAAAAAAAACAGATCAACAAATACTATTAGAGTTATACCCTCAAATTAAAAGTCCATAGGTAGAATTTTCAAACTAGCCCAATGAAATTAAACACTCCACTTCTGGTAAAATTCAGCGGGTTTTATTTCTAATCTCCCTAAGATCTCTTAGAAAATCTTTGTCTAGATGTTTGCTTTCAATACAATACTAAAACACAATATTTGCATGTACAGTACAGTCGTGTCATATGCACATTTAACTTGCGCGAATTCAACTTTACACGGGGTGGGAGGGGGGCGGGGCTTCAGTTTACGGTGGCAGCGGGAGGTTTTGGCAGCATGGTGGTGGCCCAGTGGCACGCAGCCACCCCCCCGCAATGCTGCGCCGGCCACACAGCTCCAAGCACGGCTTCGCGGCGGTGGCAGGAGGTTTTGGAGGCAGAGGCAGTTGCTCTATGCGCGATTTTCGCCCTACGTGGTGACCTCGGAACCTAACCCCTGCGTAAGTTGCGACACGCCTGTATACCACATTTACAGAAATGAGGACAAATTCTAGAGAAGTTTTTCCCCCAAAAGCATTCATTTAAAATGTACTAAAGACTATATACTTCATCTTTTTCTTTCTTTTACCATTTTGTAAATTTTAATACTTAGAAATTTTGCTCACCATAGACAGTAACTTAAAATATCTCAGCGGTATCACAGGCTACCACATAGTGTATTTCAAAGGCAGACAATCCTTAACCAATTACAAACTGAATACAGGCAGTAAATGTAACACTGTTGAAAACATTGTTAATGAACATTTACAAGTTGCATTCATTTTACCAACTTTGGTGGGGGGTGGAAATCAAAGCATCAAAATGTTATATCTAGTTGTGGTATCCTGATGGCAGATTCTTCAACTTTGGCTGAAATATCAATTCCAAGTGGAGCTCTAGAGTATAACAAACATTATATTAATAATTATTTTTACAAACAGTATGTTCTATTTTCTGTAGTAAAGAAGGCCTTTAGAACTAGGTCCACAAAAGTATTTTCACTGCAGCCTTTAGGGGAGTTTATACATGTACTCCAGGAGCCAATGGGGAGGGGCACTCTAATCAGAGTGGCTCCAAGAGCTGTCCTAATTAAAGTGCCCAGAGCATCACATGCATCAGCATCCCCATGACGAAAAAATGGCGATGGAGGTGCTTTAGCTAGAGCTCCAACAAGCTTTAAAGTGCCCCTGTCACCACTTTTCAGCATAGGGACACCGATGCACATGATGCTGGAGTCTGCTGGAGTGTGGTAATTACCATACTCCAACAGACTCAAGTAATCAGCAGACTTGCTGTAATTACAGTGCATTGGACCAGCCTCGCTACATGTGTATAGGTGTCCTTGGTGCCTAGCTGTCTAATACAATCTATGGCCCCTAGTTACGCATCTAGGTTCCCTCTATAATGGATGAGGAGAGTTAGATTCCAAAAAATGGGATGCACAAATTCCACCACACTGACAGGAAGCTGGCTAAGCTTGCCAATAGAAAAGGCTGAGAGGAGAGATGTCATAAACCCTGGCCCTCTCAGTGGCTTATGCGCCTTTTCTGGGCTGCAGCACTTCTGATTAGCATTCACAACCCTGAACTCTCTCCTGAAGATAAACATTTGTGCCAACCTTTCTAACACAATCAGAGGTAGAACACTGATGGTATTTCCCCCTTTTTTCCAAAAGTTCAGTAATTAGAGCATGTCCGTGGGATATGGAACACCTAGATTCAATCCTGTCCTCTGTCCGAGGAGATCTGAACCTGCATCTCCCATCATTTAGAGCCGTTACACGTTGCGTATCAAGCTCAACATGCAAGTGTCTTTGCCTCAATACAACAAGAAGTGTCTTTGCACTTTGAGTGTATATGTTGATCAGTGGTAATACTAGTTTGAGTTTGGAGCAGTTTATACATTCAGCCTTGAGGGCTGAAAGGTAAGAATCCTCCACCCTCCCCTCCCATTCTGGGTCCCCGCCACCCCTCACCCCTGGGGCTCCCCTCTGCCCCTCAGGGGTTCTCCCCTGCAAACCCCCTGCTGCAGGGCTCCTACCTGCTACTGGGGGGTTACCCATGCTCCCCCCCAACACCAGGGCTCCCCTCTGCCCTCCCCGCACACTTTTGGCTGCCAGCACTGTCCTGGGGGAGCAAGCAGGGAAAGGGGAATCCCCCCTATCCCACCTCTGCTACACTCTGCTAGCCTGCTGCTCTTCTCCAGGCTGAGCCTAGCCCAGAAAGCAGTGGTAGTGGCAAGAGCTGGGCAGTGGGGTTCCCCTTCCCTGCCTGCTCCCCTGGCACAATGCCTGCAACTGAAAGTAAGGGAGAGGGGGCAAGCAGGGAGCTGGAGTGCTGGGGAGAGCAGACCCATTCTAGGGGGGGCAGGTACAAATGTCTGCAAAGTACTAGAGGCACTTTTATTGTCATGTTGCCACATCAAGTAATGTAAAATTAAGGGCAATATGAAGAAGTGGAATAATAGATTAGTAGGAATTGTCACTTACTTTCCTTCATAGCGGAAGCTCTCTATGTTGTGTAAAACACCCAATCCTGCATGTAGCCTTTCAACACCATTCCTAAAAAGAGAATATTCATGTAAAAGGCACAAAGTTTTTCAAGTGCTGTTTGTCTGTCTGTGACACACATGTGGTTTAATCACAATAATAAGTTCTTTTACTTGATGTTTTAAATTGATGTTGATTGTAGTTTTATAAAACACTTAAAAACATACAGAAAACAGTCCTTGCTTACCATGCAATCATAACACCATTGTCAGTGCAAAGTCTGGGAGGAGGGCACAACAAAGCAAAATCAGTTGCATCTGTTACACTTTGCAGAGCTCTTCGGATATACTGGTTACTTGCAACTCCTCCTGACACAACCTGACACCAGTTTGGACAGAGAAAAAAACAAGTCACACTAAGACTAAACAAATTAGGGATCACTTATATGGTTAAAGAAAAAACCTGATGATAGTACTATTAGAGATAAGTTTTGGAAACTAAAACCTATTACAAGAGAAATTTGCATAAGTAGTCTAAAGAAAAAATTACCAAAGAAATTAGCAAAGAAATATGACAATTGACAAATTAAAGCACAGTATAAATAGGTCAGTTGTCAAATATATTGGGGATGACTGCGTGGAATTTGATGGTCTGTGGTCAGAGTAGATCATCATCTCAGCCTCTTTTGACTTTAAAAATCTATGAAGCTATTATTCTCCTTTATTAAGTCAGAACAAAAGCAATAGGCTAAGTTGCTGAAGTGCAAATGTAACCTAACAATTAAACAAATTGCCAGTTGTTAACATTGTAACCAAGCTACTGGTTATAAAATGCTAATCAATGAAAAACATGGAATCACTATTGACTATATCAGAAGTTAGATTTAATATTCATCTATGAGAGCTGTTTTGCGAATAGATTAGATCAGCATTTCTCAACCTGTGGGTCGCAAGAATATTTCAAAGGGTTGCAAGCAAGCGTCAGAAAAATGCACGAAAGCATGGGTTTCCCCTTACAGGCTGGCAGTGTTCCAGCTTGCAAGCAGCTGCTTGAGGCATGGCCAGCACGCAGACAGGCAGGGTCATGGAAGCAGCCCCAGCAGCTGGATGAAGGTAAGCATATGGGGAGTGGGGGTTAGAGGGCCAGGGCTTGGGGACTGTCAGGGTGGGGCAGGGCAGTGTGTGCATGCGTGGAGGGGATGGGTGTGGAGGGGGGGCCGTGTTTGTACCCTGCTGGCACTGGGAAAAGGTGGCCTGGGGGCTGGGTGCCAAGGCTGCAGCAGGGCAGGGGGGTGGGGCACTATGGGTCAGGGACCAGCAGGGCCAGGGGGTGTGGGCTGGGAAAAGCAAATGGGTCCCAGTATGAAAAAGGTTGAGAACCACTGGATTAGATGACACCCCACTACCCCATCCAATAATAACTACACTTTACTATTTGCATTAGGTGGTCCACAAAACTCTCAGTCAGGATGGTGCTCCATTGTGTTGGGAATTTATTAAAATGCTTTCCACTTCTTGTAAAAAATAATTTTAAATGTTAGCTGTTAAAAATTACTTTCTTGCTGTATTATGAGGCAAAGACACTTTTTAGAAAATAAGTAGCGTTCACATAACTCTAGCACCACAGACAAAAAGTCACTTTACAAGCTTCCCCTTTTAATCATATACATCATTGCAAACTGCTTTCTGGTGCTACTATTTACTTATTGTTTTTAAAAAAAGTGATGGAAACTATTGGATCTTGCGTATAATAATTTTTATGCTTACTTTTAAAAAGTTCACTTCCAACTAAATACCTAAAACCCAGGAATAGTAAATAGAACCTTAGGGGCTATTACAGCTAGGATTTTCTGCAGTTCGAAATGCTTCAAGTTTGAAATTTTAAAGAAAAAAATAGCAAAAAATGTGCAAAAAAATTCCTTTAAAAGATTTCTATCTTCCAGTCAGCATGATTTAATATATTAAGAGCAGCCCAGTTAAATTGAATAGTAAGAGGATATGAACCCAGTTAAAATTATAGAAGTTAAGTCATAAACTGGAATATTATCACACGTTCACAAAATCTTTAAAACATTTTATGTATTTCATGAAGCTGTTAAAATAGCACATCACAGAGGCATCAGCAGTGTGATAATTAGAATACTTGTGTTTTACATTATTTAGGACCAGGATGGGAAGATTTTTAAATCTAAATTAAACATTAAACAGTGACAATGTATAATCTGCAGCCATACCACCTTAGTTCACTACACTTTGTTAAATTAATGAAATATTACTGAGTTGGAATTAAGTCAAAACTGGGATGGCAAAACTAAATGAAAAAGCAAGGTACTTCAGAAAATAATGGCAGTAATTCAGTATGCGTTGACTCTTCCCTCAATACAATGCAAAAATGTTCTTCTCGCAATTTCGGCTGGGTTTATAATTCACTTTCTTCCTAAACTATTGTGTAGTTTTACTGTGCTGAGATACTACTAGGTTGCTGCAGGCAACATTTTTTGGATGAACTATAAAACCATGATCCAAACAGTTTTTTTTTTGTTATTTGCAGTTGAATGGTAATTTACACAACTGGGTATTAATCCTGGAGTCCTGTTCAAATGTAAACATTGTTAATTGCTCATTTTAAATGAGTGATGTATTTTCCCTGAGGTGGCTGTGTTTCAGTGGAGTTGATTAGGAACAGGCACTGCATTTGCCTGTAGAAAACCTGTGCCTGTGTTTGTCCCAGAACAGAAATACCCAACAATTGGTATGTGTAGGCCTCAATGGAGTAATGAATAAAATAAGCACTGATCAATGCATATGCAACTCATATAAAGGCTTTGCTAAGAGTTAATCAAAGTCAAACGCTGACCTCACACCACTAGTTCCCTGTGAAAGTAAGCTTGACAGTTCGGACACACTTTGTGATATCCTCAGTCCCTAGGATAAACTGTTTGTACTTCTTATCCTGTGAACCTTTTTAGGATTTAACCCGGGACAATGGCCATACACATTTGGAAAACTGCACTGTCTCAGAATAAAATAGTTTATTCTGGGACAAATGTGACATCTGTTTGTTGTCTCTATAGTTTACATATCAGTCTGACAGTTTCACTCACTCAAATATTTAAGTTCTAGCTAGAACCCACCTCCTAATATAGCTAAATATATTGAAAAATTATATAAATACAGTGGAACCTGAATCATTCCTATTTTTCACACCCAGTTTGCTTTGAAGGCTGCCAAATTCAGAATAAGCCACTCAGATATATGCTGTGGCTTTACTGCAAAGGACACAGCTTCCTCCATCAGCTGCAGCTCACCAACAGTCCTGCAAAGCTGATAAAAGAAGCCATATCCTTTGAAATAAAAGCTGAAGTAAAAAGCTGGAACACCATAGCAGCCCCATGCAGTTGTTTTGTTGCAATTCTATATACCCCCAGCAAACCCTCAGCTGGGTTAGGAACCTAACCCTGCAAAATATCTAGGTTCTACTGTATAAATGATGAAGAACAAAAGTTAAGATTTGGAAACAATCCTAAAACTACTTTCCTTAACAATACAAAGCTGCACAATTCTCTAGAAAGCTGCATGACCTATTTATTTCAGTGACTGCTTGTTCAACTGAGGATGCAGACACATAACCTTACTGTGGTTACCCACTCTAGCAAAGTTATCCTTCAGCACATGGAGAGTAACTACACATCAGTGTAAGTTACACCACTATATGCTAGCCACTCTGCTCTTAGCATCTGACATAGTATGTTGATGCCCATGAAAGTGCATGCCTCTCTGAACAAGTTAGTCCCTAGCCAAATGCCCTTTCCTCTACCTGACTTCTGATTAACATGGCTAACCTGTCTGCTCATGGAAGGCACCATGCTCAACTGAACAAAATGGACTTTAGTCAACCTACACAAGAAACTTGCTCAGGTATGCTCAGAAGGAGATTTTATAGCACCTGACAAAGTAAGTTGTTCCTTATGAAAGCTTGCCTCACTGAACCAATAAGTCTCCAGGTGCCACCCTGTCCTACCTTCTACCTTGGTATACAGATTGTGAGAGCCTGCTCCTTTAATCAATTCCATTTCTGGGTAGTTTGCTCAATAAGAATCATCTCCCCATTACCCAATGGCCAGGTGCTGCAGGCAACACACTTAAGAGAGCTGTCATTTGTCGGTCTCCTACTACAAAATAAATTCTGGAATACAGGAGACACTCGCCATTCACAGGGGATATGTTCTCGTATCCCCCAGGAATGGTAAAATCCGTGAATAAGGCACTGCATTCATGAACGGCTGTGCTGGCAGTGACGGGAGTGCGGCGGCAAGCGCAGAGCTCCTGAGGAGCTCCTTTAACAGTATTAAGATACACAGGTTCGACATTTGCAAATATTTGAAACCGGGAATGCTGAACCCGCGAATAGCGAGGGTGTCCTGTATATTACTGTGCAGTAATTGTACTGTGTGTCTTTATCCTAAATATGCAATATGCATTTATTTTAATGTGGGACCAGTATCGGTACCTCTGGATATGTTAAGGAGGGTGCTGTGACATTATTTTCACAGACTTACATTTATACAAATACACAGCAGAACATAACGTTGACAAACGGAGTAAGATTATACATGCTTACCAAAGTCGCATTTGTTGGTGATAAGACACCACTTTTTATGCAGAACAGAATGGCTCGGTGTGTTCGTATGGCAATATGAAGGGCAACTGCATGCTGTACTGCAGCAGCAATGTCTGCAACACTTGATAGGAGCTGTCCCTCTTGAAGACCTGTAAAAATTATGACCACATGGATTTTCCCAAGTGTAACTGATCCTCAGGTGCGTTATCTATACAGGTTTTATTTGGAAAGGTACCTTCTTCCATCTCTTTTTGCATAATCAGTTTTGTGACATTGGTTTGAAGTCCAGAAAAAGAAAAATTGCAGTTGACGTGACGTTGCATGAGATGTTTGAGGTTATAATCCGGCCGGTTTCCCTTTTGAGCTAAATACTCTATAGCTTTCCCACCAGTTATGCTGCAGCAGTCTGGGTGCTTTGTTAGAGACAGTCTTCTTGCTACCTAAAAAGAAAAGATATGTGGAAGAATGTACTGATACTATACAACAGTCTCAAAATGAAAAGATGGAGAGAAAATCAAAGTAACAAATATCCCCAGTGAAACTACCCTACTTTATTCTGTAAGATGCAATTATGAATCAGGTGGAATGAGGAAAAACTAATGATAGATGTTGACACTGAGAGGACAGATTGCAAACTCTACAAGAAATGAGAGGAATCCAAATCTTGTAGTGTTGAAAATGGACTCCTGAAGGTAACTTACACTTCCTCTACCCCCCACCCCCAACAGAAATAGAAAACTTAAGATTTTTCTTAACTGGTTTTAAAATAGTTTTAAAAATTTGTTTTGGCTGAAAAAAAATATCTGCAAATATGTTGTAGGGCCTGAGAATATGAAACTGAAACCGGTAGTCTACTTTTACTGTCCAGAGTAAATGACCAATACATACAACTTAATGGTGTAAAACAAACTGGTCTTTTTAGAAACTTTCTTAGTTGAAATTAATAACACAAGTAAGTATATATAAAACAAATATATGACATTTAAATACTCACTTCTAAATATTCTTGTATTATTCCGACTCATTTGTATTGCATACTGAAGATAGGCTGACCAACCAGGTTATAATTACTAATCACAGAATTATATCATTAAAACTATATCATAGAAAACAAGGGTTGGAAGGGACCTCAGGAAGTCATAGAGTCCAACCTCCCCCCTCAACCCCTCAAAGCAGGGCCATCCCCAACTAAATCATCCCAGCCAGGGCTTTGTTGAGCTGGGCCTTAAAACCCTCCAAGGATGGTGATTCCACCACCTCTCTAGGTAACCTGTTCCAGTGCTTCCCCACCCTCCTAGTGAGAAAGATTGTCCTAATATACAACCTTTATTTCCCTTGCAGCAACTTAAGACCATTGGTCCTTGCTGTCATCTGCCACCACTGATAACAGTCCAGCTCCATCCTCTTTGGAACCCCCCTTCAGGGAGTTGAAGGCTGCTATCAAATCTTCACCTCAGTCTTCTCTTCTGCAGACTAAATAAGCTTAGTTCCCTCAACTTCTCCTCAGAAGTCATGTGCCGGTCCCGGTCCCGCCGCCCTCTGCTGGAGTCTGCAACTTGTCCACATTCTTTGGTTGGGTGGGGGGCACCTGGCCCCTAAAATCCATATTCAAATTTGACAGAGAAAAGTTCAGTTTATATTGTATTATTTTTCTTACAGACCTTTCCCTCACAGACATATTGACTAACCTGTTCCAGCCTATGCAGTCACAATCAGATCCCTCCTTTAATAATGCCTATTTTATAAGCAAGTAATAGTTAAATAAATTACAATAAAATAATTTTATTGGAGGGTAGGGAACAACTACAGGCAGACCTGGACAGGTTGGACAAATGGGCAGAAAACAACAGAATGCAATTTAACAAGGAGTGTAACACGAGGGCGTCCTCAGATCGCCATGCTCTCCCCTGACGCCTCCTTTACCGTGCCAAGCTGCCTACAGGGCACCCTCTATTCTCACCCGCCACGTCTTTGCTGTTATATATATATGTTATAGGGAAGCTGCCTTTTCGTTCTCTTGGACACGGTACTCCTGTTCTACACTGGTCCCGTTTCTGGAATGAGCATTCCAGTACACCCCAGCCTTATGGGCTATGTGTGGCTCCAACCACCCCTGTACCATGCCCCAAGCCTCGCAGATGGAACGGACGATCTTTGATCTCTGGTCTCATACTATCCCTTGGCCTCTCCGCAGCCTGGTCTCTCAAGGGTGCCCCCTGGGCGTTCGGGCTCTTCGCAGGCCGGTCTCTCAACGGCACCCCGCTGGGCGTTTGGGCTCCGCAGCCTTATCGCGTACTGCACCTCACTGGGTGCTCAGGCTCTCCGCAGCCCTTTCTCATAACCATGCCTCCCTGGGCGTTCAGGTTCCACACAACCTTTCCTTGTTTTGCCTTACCGGGCACTTGGGGTCAGCACACTCCCGCTGCTGCGCTCTTTTTGGCGCTCGGGGTCGGCATGCTCCCAATACTGCCCTTTCGGACTTATGTCAGTCGTTGCCCCCTTCTCTGGGGCCTCTCACAGTGCTGCCCCTGCTCTGGGGCCACTCAACTGTTGCCTCCTTTCTGGGGCTGGGGTCCCCACACTACCGTGAGTCCCCTTATGAGGCCTCCTCCAACCCCTCATAGCCTCACTCAAACCTCCGGTTACAAACAGCAAACACAAAGCATAAGCCCCTAGGCTATAACATAAATCTCAGCCCTCTGGCTCCAAAATTCTTCCTGCCACACCAGGGGTGCTCCATCTCTCACCATCTCAAGCTGCTCGTGTATTCACGCCTCTTCTCTATACTCACTCCGGCAGCGCTCCTTCCCCCCCTGACAGCCAGCAGGGAACTGCCAGCCTGGTCCCAGCCCTGGGGTTTATATAGGAGCCAGGCCCTGTCCCTTCCAGTCAGCTGACCAGCCAGGTGTGGGGCACTAGCTCCCTCTGGTTACCCTAGCAACCGGCACCTGAGTATTTATTCCAACTCTACAAGTAGCAGGCACCTTAGTGTCCTGCTACAAGGAGAAATGCAAAGTGCTGCACCTAGGGAGGAAAAATGTCCAGCACACCTACTGCCTAGGAAATGACCTGCTCAGTAGCATGGAAGCAGAAAGGGATCTCAGAGTCCCAGTGGACTCCAAGATGAACATGAGTCCATCAGTGTGACAAAGTCATCAGCAAAGCTAACTGCACTTTATCGTGCATCAACAGATGCATGATGAACAGAACCAAGGAGGTGATACTTCCCCTCTATTGGGCACTAGTCAGACCGCAGTTGGAGTACTGCGTGCAGTTTTGGGCACCACACTTCAAGAGGGATGTGGATAACCTGGAGAGGGTCCAGAGAAGGGCCACTCGTATGGTTAAGGGCTTGCAGGCCAAGCCCTACAAGGAGAGACTAGGGCACCTGGACCTCTTCAGCCTCCGCAAGAGGAGGCTGAGAGGCAACCTTGGGGCTGCCTATAAATTCATCATGGGGGTGCAGAAGGGAATTGGAGAGGTTCTACTCACCAAGGCGCCCCCGGGGGTTACAAGAAATAATGGCCACAAGCTAGCAGAGAGCAGATTTAGACTGGACATTAGGAAGAACTTCTTCACAGTTGTCACCTGACCCCAGCGCTCTTTCCTGCCTATGCAGGGGGTCGGACTCGATGATCTATTGAGGTCCCATCTGAACCTAACATCTATGAATCTATGAATTTAAAGTAGCATCTGATGATCTTAACAAAAATGTGCTACTAATAATACAGAAATTAAGACTCATATTCACAGGTGACTAACCTTATCTTGTTACTAGAGTACACCATTTATTTTATTCAGAAAGAATAAGTTACTTTAAAACTTAAGGAAACTCTTACTCAAGACCATTCCAGAATCATCATTTCCTAAAGAAAATAGTTATACCTATGCTAAAATAGAAAACAGAGAAATTATGATGCAAATAATAGAACAATCACTACTATTTTGAATAAGACACTTGAGGGAATCCATATGGAATTACCTTGTCAAGCATGTCACCTGGTGCTATATCCAGTGACTGTCCAAGCAGAAGGAAATCTGAAACTCCTTGTACTACTGCCAGGATACAGTGACCTCCAGAGATTAAAAGAACTAAGAAAGGAAATTCCACTTGATTTGTCAGCCTAATTGTAAGTGCATGTGCCTCCATATGATGGATGGGGATGAAAGGCTTCTTATATTGTTTCACCAATCTTAAACTATATTCTAATCCCACTCCAAGGCTTAAAGGAAGTCCAGGCTTTACTGTAGTTGCAATTGCAGAGAGTTCATTTGGAGAGATTCCGCTGGTATCAAGTGCTTCTTTTACGATTTTTTCAATATTTTCTTTGTGAAGCTGTTGTGCCACTGGGGGAACTATTCCACCTCTTCTATTAAGCAAAGGAGAGTTATGACATGTCCATATATTGTGAAGGAATCATAGAACTGACAGAAAACATCTTTAAACTTTGCTAGAACTGACTGTTCCCTGTTGCTTTGTCTGCTCCTACTTATAATTACCCATAGTGAGGAGCTCCTTATTTGCACTGGGAGTCAAAAACATCCTGTTATTCTTTGGTTTATGTCCCATTTGAGTCTGGGCTATATCATGCCAATTAACAGGACTTAGTACTCCGAATCAACAACTCCTTTCTGTCAAATCAGTAACGCAACAGCTAATTACCATTTTCTAGTTTACGTTCTTCAGAATTTCTCCAAATTTGATAAATCAGGTTATATTTTAATAAGGCCAAAGAAACTGCTGCTGGATAGAACAAGGAGGAAGCTCTGTGAGTTCATGTTTCTATTTGTACCATTTGCTAACATCAGAGTAGGAAAAAAACACAGTCCACATTATGCAAATATAAAGCTTTATGTGTATGAAGTACTCATTTCATCAAGTGCTCTCTATCAGCCCCTCTACCTGTTACACTTAAGGCGTGATTATCCAGCTAATCACGCCTTAAGTTGTGACCTAGGTACACGTTCAACCAATGGTATAATCAAACGAGCAATAAGCTACAAAGTTATTCCACAAAAAATGAGCAATAAACTTTGTAGCTTGTTCTAATCACACCATTAATTGAACATGTAGCTAAGTGCTCCTCTGTGGTTGGGAGCCCCATCAGTCAAGGGACTCCCAACCAAGGCTTACAATGCTGGCAGTGTTCTCAGCTGTAGGCCTTGCAGCAGGGAGAATGCTGCTGCCCCTACAAGCCCTGTGAGTTGCAGGGCTCACAACAGTGCCAGCATCCCCTGTGTTGCCCCCGCTGCAAGCCAACGTGGGCTACGGGGCTTGCGGCAGGGAGAACACTGCTTCTGCTATGAGCTTCATGTCCTGCTGTGAGCTTGCAGCAGAGGCAGTGGGGAAAATGCTACCACCGCTGTGAGCCTCTTGAAGTGTGGAGCTTGCAGCAGTGGCAGTGTTCCCTTCACTGTCCCCACTGTGAGTCTTGCAGCTGACATGAGCTATGGGGCTCACAGAGAGAATGCTGCCACTGTTGTGAGCCTCCTGAGGTGCGGGGCTTGCAATGGTGGCAGTATTCTCTGCGCTACACCTGCTGCGAACCCTGCAGCCACTGTGGGCTCTAGGACTCACAGGAGGGGCAGTGCAGGGAATGCTGCTGCCACTGAGAGGCCCACACTTCGAGTGGCAGCTAGCATTCTCCCCACTGTATCTGCTGCGATCCAGGCAGCCCCGCTGCAAGCCCTGCAGCTGACAAGGCTCACAACGGGGGGCAGCGTTCCCGGCACTGCCTCGGTTGTGAGCCCTACAGCCCATGGCAGTTCAGGGAATACTGCTCCAACTCCAAGCTCTGCCGAGCCCCAAGAGCTGCAGGGCTCGTAACTGTGGGAGCTAGTGCAGGGGGAATTCAGAATCATGATTCCAGACTCCCACTGCACCAGTGATAAAATGCAATGAGATTTAATTCATGATCCCACAATCACATCTCCTGCCACGCACTTGTAGCATGGCAGAAGGTGCAACTGTGTAAATCAGGGGTGTAGGTTGTAGCCGTGTTGGTCTAAGGACATAGGCAGACAATGTTCTTTGGATGAATCTGATATCTTTTTTTAGATCAACTTAAATAGTTGGAAAAAAAATTTTTAGCAAGCTTTCAGGTTTAAAAACCATTCGAGGCTGAGGAAGCCTCTGCAGTTGGTGTGTTCTCTTCCTGGATGGAATGAGTAGCAAAGAAGCCAGAGGCTGGGCTGGTATGCATGCCACAGAGGCAGTCAGTTAAGATGTAAATAAAGGACCCTAACTGAGGAAATATCAGGTTTCGTCAAATCAATCCTAAAACCTCTTGTCACCCAAAAAGCAAGTTTTGTCCAAGGCACTACAGACTTTCTACAGAAACTTAAAAACATAGACCACCGTCCCAAGTTGTTCCAGCAACACCCTCCTAGCCACCATGGATGTTACCAGCTTCTATACCAACATCCCACACCAGGATGGCATCCAAGCCTGTCTTACATATCTACAGGAGCAGGATTACAACTTAGAGTATAGACCCAAAGATATTACTAACCTTATACACTTCATCCTCACACACAACAATTTCACTTTTAATAACCAATGCTTCCTCCAGACCATGGATACAGCTATGGGCACCAAAATGGCCCCACAGTATGCCAACCTTTTTATGAACCACCTGAAAGAAGAATTCCTCAAGGACTGAACCATCAAACCCTTGCTATACTTAAGATATAGCAATGACATCTTCTTAATTTGGGCTGAAAACCTGCAATCTCTGACTGAGTTCCATCAGAAATTCAACAAGTATCACCCCTCCATCTGACTATCTCTTGAATACTCCAGCACCAACATCTCCTTTTTAGACACGATGATCAGTATCCAGAATGGTAAAATATAGACCACTTTATACAAGAAACCCAAAGACCAACATACATATCTGCACAGAACCAGCAATCACCCTAAACACATCAAGAAAACTATGATATACAGCCAAGCCCTCAGATACCACTGGGATTGCCACCTCACTAATCTTAAAAAGGCTTTCACTCAACAATGACACTCCTCCAGAAAGACAGATCGCACCTTTGATAGAGCCACCCAGATACTACGTGATGAATTTCTGCACTACAGAAGAAAACCCCCCACGAATCACACACTGCTAGTTATGACATATCACCCCACCCTTGACCCCATACAGAAAATTCTCAAACCACTGCAACCCATACTAGAAGGAGACCCTATTCTTAAAGAGATCTTCCCAGAACCACCCATCCTAGCCTTCAAACAAGCACAGAACCTCACTAACCTCAATACCAGAAGTAAACTTCCTATGGCCCAGAACACATCAAATGGATCCAGACCGTGCCATGATAAGAAATGCAAAACCTGCCAACACATCTCCACCACCCCCACAACTACTACACCCCACAACAAAGCCATCAGCATTCCTGGATCTTGCAGCTGCACCTCTAGAAATGTAATATATCTCATCCAATGCACCAAATGCCCTGATGGAAGATATGTAGGAGAGACCAAACAACAACTGCACACCAGAATGAATGCACATCGGACATCTATCAAAGAAAAGAATACCCAATTACCTGTGGGGGCACATTTCCCATGAGAAAACCACTCTCTCTCCAATCTCTCAGTTCTAGTCCTCAAAGAGAACTTACAAAATACTTCTCAGAGACGAGCCTAAGAACTTCATTTCAACCTCCTGGATACAAAAAATCATGGACTAAATATAGACATTGGATTTATGACACTTTATAACCTGCCTGACATCTGACTCCCCAGGTACCTCTCCACTATTTACCTACTACATTCATCCCCCTTTTCTCTCCTCCTGCCCCCAGCCTCTCTCTCACCCACTGACTCCTCAATTTACATTTTCACTGACTGCCTATCTTGCATGCATACCAGCCCAGCCTCTGGCTTCTTTACCATTTGTTCCATCTAGGAAGAGCACACACCAACTGCAGAGTCTCCCTCAGCCTGATGAAGGGTTTTTAAATCCGAAAGCTTGCTAAAAGTTTTTTTTCCAACTATTTAAGTTGGTCTAATAAAAGATATTAGATTCACCCAAAGAACCTTGTCTGACTGTGTAAATCATGCATTAGATCCCACTTCACCTTTACCTGCACACGTAGGGGGGCCCTAACAGATATACATGGTAATTTAAGAAGAGACATCCTGCTTACAATACGATAAATACAAACAACAAAATCAGTAGTATTTAATCACAATTACACTTAAAAAACAATGCATGCATGGAAGTATTTACCTACTTCAAATGGACTTCAGTTTGAGAATGCAGAGCTTCTCCTAAAATGTTGCCACTATCATCCAGAACTGCAGCTCCTGTATCATCACAACTTGTTTCTATTCCCAGAACTAATTTACGAGCAGAATGGTTTGCACACTGAGAGAAAAAACTTCTTAAACACACAGCTTGACCATGTCTAACTGATTTTGAAATGCCTCCGATTATGCTGTCCATAGCTAAAATCTTCTGCACATAGGCATGTCTAAAAAGAAGCTGTACAGAAACCATCCTCAGATTTTAAATTCTGTAAAAGTCATTTATGCAAGCTAAGTCATATTAGCGACAAATATCTTTAAAAGCACTGGCCAAATTCATTCAGATTACTCATTTGATTATATTCATCCTTAAGTGAAATGACAATGTCCTAACAGCCAAACGAAATTCAGATATCAGTCATTCTTATTCTACCCTGGTACTTATACCAAACTGTGCCTAACAGATACCCAAATATCTTTCTTCACTTTAAGTAGAGGTTCTACCAGACATAACAGCAAGTTCTCATGATTCAATCTAGATCAGGGGTGCTCAACCCCCACCCCTCAGGGCCATGGATCCTAAGGAGGTTGGGCAGCGCAGAGCCCTGTGCCACCTCTGCCCAGCTAGGTTCAGGCCCTGGGGCCCCACGCCACCCCTGCCCAGCTGGGTGGAGCCAGCATGGGGCTCTGGAGCCCAGTCATTCAGACTGGCACTGTGTCATTCATCTGGCCATCAGAGCCAGACACGTGAGCATCGCTGATTTAATTCTCTTCCCACTGACCCAGGTTTTTCAGTACTTCCATTTATACATTATTTACAGTGATAGTGCAACTCCTTGGGTGACTCAAACTATCTTTATTCCTCCAAACCTCATTTATGATGGCACATTTCCATTTTTCTTACTCTTACTAATCCAGCCACCTAATCTATGTTTGCTTGAACTTTCCAAAGACATTTATTACTGAACTGAGAACAAACATGCCAAATTTCCCCCTTAACTATTTGTTCTGCTAACTCTAAAAACACCCCTTTGAAGAACTCATAACAGCCTGATCTAAGATATGAGGAAAAATACTTATATTTATTAAATTGTTCAAATGCTGCCCCTTCTTATTCTCTCTAAGCAAAACTGTGTACTCTGGGAGCTCTTTAAATAAACTGTCTAAAACAAGGATGCAAATTTAATTTCCATGTTTTAGTTGCATTACAGGGCAAACAATTTGCATGGTAGGTTACAGTAACTGTCTACCCAAATATATTCCTTTGTGTGTGAGCTGAAATCAAATCTCCTCTTCCTATATGTCTATACTAAGTTCACTTTTAAAAAAATAGTTTATTTTCCTCACTTGCTTTAAAAACAGCTTATTTCAAAGCTAGAAACTAATGTGTTTTTTCCCCCTTTGGCTTCTTCTTTGTGCATGCATATCCATTCCTCGGGGAAGCATTTTCAGAAATGCTTCTGTATTTTTCATTGCATGAAGAATTAAAATGACATAGGTCAAATTTTAGGTCAAACTAAAAGAGGAATGTAACCTTAGGCTTCTGAAAATCTTACCTTTAAAGCTTGGAAACTAACCTGAAAGTTATGTTTCACTCTTTTTTTACCATTACAAACTACTGGGTTTCTCGTGGATATCTTAAAAAAAAGGAAACACGCTTTCTTAACATTCAATGCATTTACAGAAGAGCTTTTACCTGCACCCAAAACATGTTTTACAATTGCTTCTGTTCACTAGCAGCAACTGCTAGCTATCCCATGTAGATAAATGTTTTGTACCCTCCTGAAAGAGAGAGAAAACAAAATGTAAACCTTTCAAAACTCTGCAGTGCATGAGAAAGACAAATTTGTGCCTGGTTACCTAAATTGTATGAGCAGTACCTTTATGGATTATATTCTTCTATTTTCCATTTTTTGCAAAGAAACAAATATGCCATAGTCATTTCCACTTCAGATATCTTTCAAGCTTTCAGAAAGGTAGTTCTCCAGACAAAGGAGGATTAAATCATATTGGTAAGGCAATTATAATAAGGTAAACACAGCTGAATATATGTGTTTGTGCTTTATTTAGAAGTCTCATCACAAACATCAATTAAATCATTTAAACTTGCCTAATCTATTAAAATATATTCACAAATTACCATGTAGATGGTGCAAGGCTCCTGCTTCAGATGCAGCACTAAGATGTTGCTTATGACACTTGTCTCCACTCTGCCCCTAAAGCAAAGTAAGCAAGATGAGATGGGTGTTCCCACATATTAAAATAATGATTATTGCATATCTTCGTGTGTAGATATCTGGTTGCCATCTTGGTTTAGCAATACGAAACTTGAAAGACAGCTCAAATGACTTGGCCAACATCACAGGACTTGTGACAAAACCAGGGACAGCACCCAGATTTATCCAGGCAAAATGCCACGCAGTGGTTCTCAACCTTTTTACACTGAAGTCCCTTTTGGAAAATGCCAGCTCTTAGTTTTCACTTGTTTTTTGCCTATGGAAAAATTACAGAGCAGCTCTTTTGCTGCAAAGAACTCAGACAGAGCAGAGCGTTTCTCACTCTGGACTCCTAGATGAAGTCTCTGGTTTATTTCGTAAATCCCGCGTGGGTGCTTGCATGCCTACTGCGCAGTAGGGGTGTATGAAGTGGGCCCTATTCGATTGGAATTCAGCCCAAATCAGGGACAGGGATTCGATTAGTTGATTCGGATTGCTGTCCCTGATTTGATTCAGCCAAATCTGAAGATGCGGTGCCCATTTGGAGAATCAGCGATTTGGACACAAACACAGCTTTAAAAGTTTTTTCTAAATACCTTGAAGTAGCAGGCATGGCTTATGATCATTGCACTGCTGAGGCACATGAAGTGTCCCACAGAAGTGCAGGGGTGGGGGCCCTCCATGTGTTTGGCAGTGAACCTGGACGTAGACTGGAAAAAGATATTACTAACCTTATACACTTCATCCTCACACACAACAATTTCACTTTTAATAACCAATGCTTCCTCCAGACCATGGATACAGCTATGGGCACCAAAATGGCCCCACAGTATGCCAACCTTTTTATGAACCACCTGAAAGAAGAATTCCTCAAGGACTGAACCATCAAACCCTTGCTATACTTAAGATATAGCAATGACATCTTCTTAATTTGGGCTGAAAACCTGCAATCTCTGACTGAGTTCCATCAGAAATTCAACAAGTATCACCCCTCCATCTGACTATCTCTTGAATACTCCAGCACCAACATCTCCTTTTTAGACACGATGATCAGTATCCAGAATGGTAAAATATAGACCACTTTATACAAGAAACCCAAAGACCAACATACATATCTGCACAGAACCAGCAATCACCCTAAACACATCAAGAAAACTATGATATACAGCCAAGCCCTCAGATACCACTGGGATTGCCACCTCACTAATCTTAAAAAGGCTTTCACTCAACAATGACACTCCTCCAGAAAGACAGATCGCACCTTTGATAGAGCCACCCAGATACTACGTGATGAATTTCTGCACTACAGAAGAAAACCCCCCACGAATCACACACTGCTAGTTATGACATATCACCCCACCCTTGACCCCATACAGAAAATTCTCAAACCACTGCAACCCATACTAGAAGGAGACCCTATTCTTAAAGAGATCTTCCCAGAACCACCCATCCTAGCCTTCAAACAAGCACAGAACCTCACTAACCTCAATACCAGAAGTAAACTTCCTATGGCCCAGAACACATCAAATGGATCCAGACCGTGCCATGATAAGAAATGCAAAACCTGCCAACACATCTCCACCACCCCCACAACTACTACACCCCACAACAAAGCCATCAGCATTCCTGGATCTTGCAGCTGCACCTCTAGAAATGTAATATATCTCATCCAATGCACCAAATGCCCTGATGGAAGATATGTAGGAGAGACCAAACAACAACTGCACACCAGAATGAATGCACATCGGACATCTATCAAAGAAAAGAATACCCAATTACCTGTGGGTGCACATTTCCCATAAGAAAACCACTCTCTCTCCAATCTCTCAGTTCTAGTCCTCAAAGAGAACTTACAAAATACTTCTCAGAGACGAGCCTAAGAACTTCATTTCAACCTCCTGGATACAAAAAATCATGGACTAAATATAGACATTGGATTTATGACACTTTATAACCTGCCTGACATCTGACTCCCCAGGTACCTCTCCACTATTTACCTACTACATTCATCCCCCTTTTCTCTCCTCCTGCCCCCAGCCTCTCTCTCACCCACTGACTCCTCAATTTACATTTTCACTGACTGCCTATCTTGCATGCATACCAGCCCAGCCTCTGGCTTCTTTACCATTTGTTCCATCTAGGAAGAGCACACACCAACTGCAGAGTCTCCCTCAGCCTGATGAAGGGTTTTTAAATCCGAAAGCTTGCTAAAAGTTTTTTTTCCAACTATTTAAGTTGGTCTAATAAAAGATATTAGATTCACCCAAAGAACCTTGTCTGACTGTGTAAATCATGCATTAGATCCCACTTCACCTTTACCTGCACACGTAGGGGGGCCCTAACAGATATACATGGTAATTTAAGAAGAGACATCCTGCTTACAATACGATAAATACAAACAACAAAATCAGTAGTATTTAATCACAATTACACTTAAAAAACAATGCATGCATGGAAGTATTTACCTACTTCAAATGGACTTCAGTTTGAGAATGCAGAGCTTCTCCTAAAATGTTGCCACTATCATCCAGAACTGCAGCTCCTGTATCATCACAACTTGTTTCTATTCCCAGAACTAATTTACGAGCAGAATGGTTTGCACACTGAGAGAAAAAACTTCTTAAACACACAGCTTGACCATGTCTAACTGATTTTGAAATGCCTCCGATTATGCTGTCCATAGCTAAAATCTTCTGCACATAGGCATGTCTAAAAAGAAGCTGTACAGAAACCATCCTCAGATTTTAAATTCTGTAAAAGTCATTTATGCAAGCTAAGTCATATTAGCGACAAATATCTTTAAAAGCACTGGCCAAATTCATTCAGATTACTCATTTGATTATATTCATCCTTAAGTGAAATGACAATGTCCTAACAGCCAAACGAAATTCAGATATCAGTCATTCTTATTCTACCCTGGTACTTATACCAAACTGTGCCTAACAGATACCCAAATATCTTTCTTCACTTTAAGTAGAGGTTCTACCAGACATAACAGCAAGTTCTCATGATTCAATCTAGATCAGGGGTGCTCAACCCCCACCCCTCAGGGCCATGGATCCTAAGGAGGTTGGGCAGCGCAGAGCCCTGTGCCACCTCTGCCCAGCTAGGTTCAGGCCCTGGGGCCCCACGCCACCCCTGCCCAGCTGGGTGGAGCCAGCATGGGGCTCTGGAGCCCAGTCATTCAGACTGGCACTGTGTCATTCATCTGGCCATCAGAGCCAGACACGTGAGCATCGCTGATTTAATTCTCTTCCCACTGACCCAGGTTTTTCAGTACTTCCATTTATACATTATTTACAGTGATAGTGCAACTCCTTGGGTGACTCAAACTATCTTTATTCCTCCAAACCTCATTTATGATGGCACATTTCCATTTTTCTTACTCTTACTAATCCAGCCACCTAATCTATGTTTGCTTGAACTTTCCAAAGACATTTATTACTGAACTGAGAACAAACATGCCAAATTTCCCCCTTAACTATTTGTTCTGCTAACTCTAAAAACACCCCTTTGAAGAACTCATAACAGCCTGATCTAAGATATGAGGAAAAATACTTATATTTATTAAATTGTTCAAATGCTGCCCCTTCTTATTCTCTCTAAGCAAAACTGTGTACTCTGGGAGCTCTTTAAATAAACTGTCTAAAACAAGGATGCAAATTTAATTTCCATGTTTTAGTTGCATTACAGGGCAAACAATTTGCATGGTAGGTTACAGTAACTGTCTACCCAAATATATTCCTTTGTGTGTGAGCTGAAATCAAATCTCCTCTTCCTATATGTCTATACTAAGTTCACTTTTAAAAAAATAGTTTATTTTCCTCACTTGCTTTAAAAACAGCTTATTTCAAAGCTAGAAACTAATGTGTTTTTTCCCCCTTTGGCTTCTTCTTTGTGCATGCATATCCATTCCTCGGGGAAGCATTTTCAGAAATGCTTCTGTATTTTTCATTGCATGAAGAATTAAAATGACATAGGTCAAATTTTAGGTCAAACTAAAAGAGGAATGTAACCTTAGGCTTCTGAAAATCTTACCTTTAAAGCTTGGAAACTAACCTGAAAGTTATGTTTCACTCTTTTTTTACCATTACAAACTACTGGGTTTCTCGTGGATATCTTAAAAAAAAGGAAACACGCTTTCTTAACATTCAATGCATTTACAGAAGAGCTTTTACCTGCACCCAAAACATGTTTTACAATTGCTTCTGTTCACTAGCAGCAACTGCTAGCTATCCCATGTAGATAAATGTTTTGTACCCTCCTGAAAGAGAGAGAAAACAAAATGTAAACCTTTCAAAACTCTGCAGTGCATGAGAAAGACAAATTTGTGCCTGGTTACCTAAATTGTATGAGCAGTACCTTTATGGATTATATTCTTCTATTTTCCATTTTTTGCAAAGAAACAAATATGCCATAGTCATTTCCACTTCAGATATCTTTCAAGCTTTCAGAAAGGTAGTTCTCCAGACAAAGGAGGATTAAATCATATTGGTAAGGCAATTATAATAAGGTAAACACAGCTGAATATATGTGTTTGTGCTTTATTTAGAAGTCTCATCACAAACATCAATTAAATCATTTAAACTTGCCTAATCTATTAAAATATATTCACAAATTACCATGTAGATGGTGCAAGGCTCCTGCTTCAGATGCAGCACTAAGATGTTGCTTATGACACTTGTCTCCACTCTGCCCCTAAAGCAAAGTAAGCAAGATGAGATGGGTGTTCCCACATATTAAAATAATGATTATTGCATATCTTCGTGTGTAGATATCTGGTTGCCATCTTGGTTTAGCAATACGAAACTTGAAAGACAGCTCAAATGACTTGGCCAACATCACAGGACTTGTGACAAAACCAGGGACAGCACCCAGATTTATCCAGGCAAAATGCCACGCAGTGGTTCTCAACCTTTTTACACTGAAGTCCCTTTTGGAAAATGCCAGCTCTTAGTTTTCACTTGTTTTTTGCCTATGGAAAAATTACAGAGCAGCTCTTTTGCTGCAAAGAACTCAGACAGAGCAGAGCGTTTCTCACTCTGGACTCCTAGATGAAGTCTCTGGTTTATTTCGTAAATCCCGCGTGGGTGCTTGCATGCCTACTGCGCAGTAGGGGTGTATGAAGTGGGCCCTATTCGATTGGAATTCAGCCCAAATCAGGGACAGGGATTCGATTAGTTGATTCGGATTGCTGTCCCTGATTTGATTCAGCCAAATCTGAAGATGCGGTGCCCATTTGGAGAATCAGCGATTTGGACACAAACACAGCTTTAAAAGTTTTTTCTAAATACCTTGAAGTAGCAGGCATGGCTTATGATCATTGCACTGCTGAGGCACATGAAGTGTCCCACAGAAGTGCAGGGGTGGGGGCCCTCCATGTGTTTGGCAGTGAACCTGGACGTAGACTGGAAGTACTTCTGGTCCACTTCCAGCTGTGCTGGGGAGCCTGTGCCTCCCCAGCTTGGCAATTGGCTGCAGGGAGACCCCAGGTGCCCCCTTCACCCCCACCCCCAGACCCAGAAGGCACCAGTCCCTGAACCGGGGCAGGGGTGCGGGGTGCCTCCCCTCTGCGCTCCCCGGCAGACTCGGAAGTAGACTGCAAGTGCTTCTGGTCCGCTTCTGGGTCTGCTGCTGAGCACGCTGGGGAGCCCCCCCGCGCTTCTGTGGGACGCTCCACGCGCCCCAGCACTGCAGCGTTCACAAGCCCCTGCTACACAGAGGTAGGGAGAAAAAACATTAAAACTGTCTCTATGTCCAAATCTCTCCGAATTGATGTGGAGGATTCCGATTTGATTCGGAGAGATTAAAGGGTCCTGACACTGAAACAGGTCAAATCTCTGCCGAACTGAATCAGGGTCCGAAGCTTCACAGAGCCCGACGATGCAGCACCCCACGAAGGAGCGCGTGGCACCCAGCACCGGGGTGCCATCTGGGTGAGAACCACTGCCCTGCCCTGCCCAGAAGAGCAGTCATTCCCACTGACACCTGGACGGGGAAACTCCCTGTAGGACACCAGGGGCAGAAAGAGGGAAAGAAAAACAAACTGCATGCGCATGTCACCCCGCCCCGCGGGCTCCCACCCGGGGGCAGTGGCGGAGGGGAGAGAGGCCCCGGGCTCGCTTGTCACCGCTGCCAGGCGTGGGCACCTCCCCACCGCCTCCCTCCCTCGGCAGAGGTCTCCCCTTTACTTTTGGCTCGTGGCTCCGCTCCGCAAGGGTTAAACCTCCGGCGCGCGGGACGCCCGGGGACTCGTCACCCGAGTGCGGCGCGGTCACGTGACCGCCTGCGTCACAGCGACTGGCCGGGGAAGGCAGGCGCGCCCGCGTCATTTTCACTAAGGGAAAGTAGAAAAGCAGGGGCGTTGCGGCAGCCATCTTTGTTAAGGGGGTGTCCTCCCTTTCCTCCCAGGGTTTTATCGGCTGGGTAGAGGTGGCTCCAGGGCCGTCACGTGCTGGGGGCGCGTCAGAGGCGGCCCCGGCCCTGGTTGGGCTGCGCGCGTCCTGCCTCGTCTCTCGCTGCTCTGCCGGCCGCGGCGTGGAAAGAGCTGGGCGTGCGCTGCAAGCTTTCCGGCAGGCGCTGGGACACCTGAGCAGCGCCGTTTGCTCGGCTTGGGCTGTGCTGCGAGGCGTGTCCCCCTCACGCACACGCGCGCCCTCTGAAACAGCCTGCCCAGTACACTTGACTCCTCGATGCCTCATGTAATAAATGGGTGTCGCCACGGTGCAAGTAGCTCGTACCCGGGTGTAAGCTCACGTGACAAACTGCTTGTTTACTTCAGCTGCCTGAGGGCTGGACTGGCTCCTGGGCTCGGACCTGCCGTTTGGAGGAGGTGGGTAGGTGTATGCATGCAAATACCCCTTCATTAACTGGCTGAAGGAAGCATGCCGCCTTACATGGGGCTTGGGGTGCATGAAAGTGCATGCGCTTTGGACCGCAACCAAGAAAATTAATCCAAGCCATTTCACAGACCAGGTTTTTAATTCCATAAACCACATAAGCCACTGGAAAAGGAAAAATAATACCCTATTACAAATATGTCTTTCACAATTACTAAAAAAAAGGTTTTCCTGTCCAGCTCTAGACGAGTTTCACATAGTGTTTCAAACACTAATTTCTATGTTCCCCTCAGTCTATTTACAAGAGCATGCCACCAATTTGTGGTCTGAAGTGTCTTTTGGTGAAACAAAGTAACTTGTACAAAATTCAAGGTTGATTTCCAGCCTCGATCAATGTCACTTACAGTTAGTCTAAAACAATGATTTTCTAAAAGAAAACAATTTTCAGCAAGCTACAATAGCCTGCTGAAGCAAATTCTTTTTTTAAGGGAACCAATTATCTGTTCATACATAATCATCTGCTTGAAGACTGATCTGTTTCGAAGACTCAAAACATTTCATGGGAGGAGAGTACCTTATTGGCTGTAATGTTTCACTCCTTCCATCCACAAAGTAGCCAGAGGAGAACCCTCTTTTTAATTAGCAAAATATTACAATCAGTGGCTAAATGTGTGAGGGAATGTTGCTAATCAACAGAACACCAATGCAGGTTGGTTTTTCTGCAGGTACATGTATGTAGCCCAGACTTTAAGCCAGGGCCAGGCCACTGAAATAAACACCTTTTCCACAAGCTGCAGGAAAGCTCCTTATTCAAGCTAAACTTCTCAGCTGGATGTCTTTGTGCCTAACTTGTAGGATTGTTCTTCTAATTCCCCTTCTTACAGCCAAGAAAAAAAAAATAAAGTACTCAGCCTTCACATAAATACACGCCTCACTCTAAAATTAGAATCATCTACAAGAGTAATGCAGTGTTATTTAGTAGTACAGTCACCCTTGCCATTCAATATTCCTACGTTCCTTGAACTTCTGGTTGAGACTGCAAAAATGCAAATGATAGATACTTTCTTTTGCTCGGCCACATAACTAATACACAGTTTAGCTATTTTGGGGCTTGTGCTTGTAATTAGCGAGTTAAAGAAAGATTCAGCTGAATACCCCAGCCACCTGTTTGAATTTCCAAACTGGAACTGCCTCTCCTCAAGGAAAAATAAAACAAAAAGACTATTAAAGACCTCCTAACCACTAGAGCATTACCTGTCAGTCAGCTATCAGAGTAAACTGCTCAAAAATCACACCACATTTCCCTCTCAGAAACTGAGTACTGTATTTAGTTTCTCAGAATAGAGCAGCCTTCTGGCAAGCAACAAGTAGCATGCAAAACAACACTGACCAGCTTCCTAAGTATCTGAAAAGTGGGTTAACAAGTTGATGTAGAAATCCCCTGAGTTGTCAGGTAAGACTAGAGAAAATTCTGTGAGAAAGGTCATATGAACAGATAATGCGTGTGCTATTAGGTCACAGCAGCTGCTGTAGTACCTAAAGCTAGACAGAGAAATTCTTAACTGGTAAAAAAGAGAGAGAGCATGTCATTTATGGTCCAAAAAGAATAAATGGCTTCTTTACATAATTAAGAATTAAAGGACTCCAGTCCTTTACTAGAAGATTTACACATTCTTTTACTCTGTTTTCACTATACTTGTTTGAATGATTTCTGAACCATTGCCTCTCTCTACACTTCAGCTTATTCAAGTTATTCATACCCTCTTTTCAAACCATTTACATCAGTGAGACGTAGTGTCTTAGTGCTGATTAAAGTTTTAGAGCTGGGCCTGCCCAGTCCCTCACAGAAAATTTCTCATTAAAAGCAATAATTAACATTCACATTAAATATGTAGAGGCATCTTCTTATAAGTCTACTTGTCTTCCAAACAGAATCCAAAGAAGTAACAGTTAGACCTCAGGCGTACAAGTGTCTCATTGTACGTTACTAGATAAACGGCACAGCAGACTATCGTTTTCCTTCTCTTGAGAAAAATGAGTTGCCATGTCAGGTTTTGATCAGAATGCTTTGGTTCCATAATTCCTGCTTAATATTTGTTGATGCCAAAGATTCTAACACCGTGCAGCTGGGGCAGCTTTGGGATAAGCACGCTCAAAAGAGAAGCTGTGTTGACAACGAAATGTGTTGGGTCATATTTAGTGTAGAAGCTTGCCAGAAAATACCTGTAGAAATAGAGAGAGTGTCAACAAAAGTCTTTAAAAAAAAAGTGAAACATTTTTAAAGTAGTTTGAGTCACTACGGGATTGAGGAAGGATAATTATTCCAGAGTAAAAGTCCTGTTTCAGCTTCCTACTTTTTAATATATATATATTTTTATACCTTCACCCAATTATGGCTCCAAGTATCTTCCTTTCAGAACCCATTTTTTGAGGATTTGGGCCACAATTCTAAAAAAGTAACTCTCAGCTAAAATCCACCACCCTCATCTTTTCCTCCTGAATTCTGGAACTAAATTACAAGGTCATTTGGATATTCATCTTTTAAACTAAAAAGGTTGTTTAGTATTTTAATGCAACTGAGGATAAAGTTATTTAAGTTGCTTAACATGCTCAATAATAAAGCATTTGAACTGTGGTATGACAACAAATGAAGTTGAATGCATCCATGAGCAGAAAGGTCTTTAAAAACAAGCTGCCCACAAACCTTTTGATATTTCCACTGCAAATTTGCTTTTGTAATTTAGATAGATCACAACCAGTTCAACAGGAAAAGTTAGGAAACATGCGACAGATTCCAGCTTACTGCCAATTTTTCTATACTTTTACAAAGCCTGTAGTCTCCCTTACTTCTTTCATCTGCCACATTATATAAAACCACATAATAAAGAGTGGTGCTGTAAAATTTCCTCTCTTGGATCGGTTTGTTTTTTTTAATTTTATAATGTCTAAAATAGCAAGTTGATATTTTTCTTACACTTTTACAGTACAGGGCAGTGATTGAAAAATACTTTTTTTCTTTTCAAGGAAGAGATGCTCACTTTCTAGTGAAAAAGTTGGAAAGCTTATTGCCTGAACTATTGCAACACTGTGTTTTTAAGAGTTTCTACCACTTATGCTTGTGAAACAGTCTTCACAATATAGGATTCTCTTCCCAAGCCTGCAGGCAAATACCTAAGTGTTACTGCTGGTAGAAGCTTTTTCAACCTGGCGAAGAAGCATAACAGATTATGAAGTCTTTCATTGTTAATTTTCAGAACCCTGTGGGTACAAATCAGGTCAATTGCTCTTGCCTAGAAGGCCTTGAAATCATTTGTTGGGGGGAGAGAAAAATGGAGAGAGAACAGACCCCAAAAGGGTGCCAGGAAATGCGTACTGCTAGAGACCACTATCTATTGCAGTAGTTAGAAGCACAAGTGAAAGAATAGTATGGTGTTGGGATAGAGAAAATCTTTTCTAGTTTCCTCCCTCAAAACAGAAGATCATTGGGAAGGTCATGATTTATCAACTGAATTATTATAGAGTCCATGGACACCTGAAAATACTGGCATACGCCTGCTTCTCAGCACTTAGATAAAGACAGCAGTGTTTCTGGAGATTACCTGTGGCCACTCTTCTCATCTTACATTTCTGGCTGTTTGCTTGGAGTTTCCATATCCTAACTAGTCAGCCTACAGAAGTTTTTCAAATGCTCATAGAGGGCCTGATCCAGCAATTTGCTGAGCAAGCTTAGGTTCCACAGATGTCACTAGGAGCTCTAAGCTTTTGAAATAATATTTAGCACTGTGTAGGATTGGCCCCATAGTATTGACTGAATTTGGATTTCCTCCCACTTGCAGATTTGTTATGCAGCTATAATTCTGTCCACATGGGCTACGGTGTGCAAAAATTCTGTTTAACTGTGTATTTACCTAACTAGTGTAAATAGAAATAACTATTCATAGAGTACAAAGCTGGTCTATAACACTATGGATCTATTCAGTAGGAAATGTTAGCTATGAAATAAAGCAAGAAACACATTTTTAGTATTTACATGTGACTATGAAATCACACGTACTGCAATCAGACTTACAGTAATCCAGTAATGCTTGCTACTGTATGAAGTTTAACTGGGCCCTAATTAAGGGCCCAGCCCTGCAGTTCCTTACCTTTAAGCTTATTAGTAAGCATCTGCAAAACTAAGTCTCAGTCTCACAAATCCAGTTTGAAAGTAAAAAGAAAACTGTAGACCAACTTAATCCCCCTTCAAATGCATTCCCCTTAAATTTTGTCAAACAGAGGCAAAATTAGTATGAAAAATGTAAAGAATTACTAATTTGTTCAATGCAGCTTTTTCTCATCTAATATCTTAAATCCAACATTGAGTGCACACATAATAGAGAATGACTGTAATAGCTCAGAACTCACAGAATTATTGGAGAGATCGTGAAGAATTTTCTTGAGGATGTAAACTGTACTCCGTAGTCTAATTGTTCCCAGTGCGTTAGTAGCCTA